ATGGAGGTTTAAAACCCTTCAACTAATTCCCTCCATATTAGCCCCTAACTCGCCTGGAATAGCAATATCCATGACTAGTAACTCTAACCGAGTTAAAATCTGACAGTTTAGGCTAACCTGGAATAGTTTGGGATAACTAATGGGTTTTAAGGGAGTTATTTTATAATTTACAGTTTTGGGGGACTTCTTTCAAAATAAATGAGATTTGGAGGACCAATATCTAAAAAACCCTTTATTTTATAGGATGTGATAGCTTAATTCTCATTAATTTGTTATGTATTTACGTGTCTTTGCCTTTTCGTGATTATTCCCATGTCGTGAACTTTTATCTCATATTTGCAACAATGTAGCATAGTTCATTTATGGCAGGTGACTGCTTCAATTTGGGAAGCATTTATCAAACAAACGTATTACACTATTATTGTTGAGATTCAGTATGTTGATATAGTGACATTGTGTTTAATAATCAATGCAGGTTACATTCTCTGGTGCAATTTTAGAGGTGTGTATGAGAAAGCTTGTGTTCTATCCTGAAATTGTAGCATTTATTGAAGAAGACAGAGAGAAATTCCCAGTCGAAGTTCGTTATGCTTATGCTTCCCCACCCAAGCTTGTATTGCTGGACGAAGACGGCCAAGACATTGAATCAATTAGGTCAGTTTTCTTGCGGTTTATTTTAGCTAGTTATATTACCTTCAGAACTTTTCTAGTTGTAGTTTTTGTTATGCATATTGACCTACTGATTTATCAATACTGTAAAAAAGCAGCTGCTTTCAAGAGATTGTTGCTGAATATGACATTAATAGCCAACTATTTGTTTTATATTTTGATACTTTTTAGTTGTCCGCTATCTACTAACCACTTGAAGGAGGATAAATGCTATAACTTGCAAAGGCTGGACGTTTGTTACCGGCAATGCCATTGTGCAATTTAGACAATTATAATTCATAAGAACCTCAATAACTGCCCGCCTTTCTCTTTCTTGCTTCGAAATACTTTGAATCAGAACTGTACTGGCAGCTTCTAGAAATATGAGAAATTATCACCAATTATTACTTTAAATGATTACGTTACTGAATTTCCGCACACAGATTTTAGAAGAAATTGCTCGACTTCTTCCAGTTTAAAAAATGTTAAAGCAGAATTCTCTCTGACAATAGCTTCACTCTTTGGACGTTTTAGTTCTATAAAGTATAATTATTACAATAGCCAATAGAATTAGTATGATAGTGAGTTATATTATACTAAGCTTATGGGAGTTGTAATAGTATATGTTTGTTTGAAGATATCCTTTAGTTCTTTGTTCCTTTCGGTCTGTTAGGTATCCTTTGGCTCTGAGTTCTTGCAAAATGATAAGCTAACTGCAGAAATAGCAATTGCACAGATCTACACTTTCTAACGACTTTTATCTTAAAAGGACACCTAGAAGATATTTAGTTAGACAAACATGTGCAACAACACTGCACCATATTGGCAGCCTGTTGGAACTGTTCGTGCTCTAGTTGATGATACCAAACTACTTTTTAGAGAGACCCCAGGATCACAATGTATTTGGTACGAGTTGCTGGTATGCCATTAATTTGATATACCTTGAGTAAAAATAGGCTAAGGAATGAGGCAGTAGCCGCAGTGCTCCTGGTGTTGAACTGGAATCTCAGTGGTCAAACGACTTACCTCATATTTGTCTCATCCTGATTATCACCCAAACAATCATTTAGATGCAGAAATCTTTACTTTTGCATTAGTGATAAACATCGACTGGTATTATTGAATAGAGATCATAGAGGAGATATATCGAAGATGGTTTCAAGCGCCGTGAGCATTGAGCCAACTTTTAGCAAAACTCAGCTCATGATAAAAAACTTGGTGTAAGCCTCCTTCTATGTGCTCCAACTGTAGATGATGCAGTTAACTGAAACTTGTGAAGGGTAACTCCACATATGAAAGCCTGTGCTTTTAGTCTTCCCTTGATACTCTTACCAGAGGCTAGATCAAGGCAAATCCTTCCTCACACCCTCCTTTTTTCACTTCTTATATGACGTTATCCAAAATTCTCACGTAGCCAGTGAGAACTGCCATCTACTCTTACACAACCTTTGTTTTGTCTCTTGGTCATCTGGTATTGCCACACATTCCTTCAACTATTGTTAACATCAATTGAAACATCCAGCTACAGCCTGCAGCCACAGACAAACTCTACCCTACTATTCTTCACTTTTTCAACATACATGTGCAAGTGTATAAGATTTCACTTCTAAAAGTTAAAATTAAAGATTGTGTTGCACGAACATGACTGTATGGTGCGGATATGATACAACAATCCATTGACGTGCAACAAGTTTATCAGTTATGTGTTCTTGACATGTGTTTGAACAACTTGGCACTGTCATGATAGAAATGTCTTAGCTACTTAGCTGCATACCTTTTAAAATGTGTGCATGTACTTTTATATTGTAGTTAATTTTGTTATCTGATAAGAAGTTTGTAAACTGAAGATAAAAAATTCACGCAGCTTTTAACACAAGGCTAGGATGTTTTTAGACTTAAAGAAATTGTGCGTTTAAAATACTTCTTAGAAAGGGATTTTCTGTTTGGATGGGTCCTTTGGTATTCTTTAAAATTTCAAGTGGTTATCAAGATAAATTGTGTGTTTGAAATAGATTTGTCAGAGGAAGTTTGGATAGCAATGGAAAGGGAGTGTTTTGGATAAGGACTAATTATAGAAATAAATTTTGGTCATAAAATTTTAGACCACGTCTATGTGAAGGGAGAATATGGGCATCACATGGGAAGCCTTCTTTTGAATCTGGTTACAAAAACATATGCTTAATTGTTTTGGAAGCCCTAGAGATTTAGTAGCAATACCTAGCACATCCCTCTGCTCTACTTGCTTATTGGTCGTGTGCTTGTCCATACACTTGCTTTTAAACCACTGCTTCCTTTTGTTAGCACGTAATATCTTGGACAATTGTATGATTTGAAGGAAGCCATGGCACCGTTTGATCTTCCATATGTTTTAGCACTTTTATAACTTTACCCAATCGTAGGTTACCGTTTTATCATCGAAACGATTTTCTTGCTGAACGGCGTATCATAACGTGAAAATTTTTACACCGTCTCCATGAGGAGCTTTCTTCATAGTACCCTTAAGGAAATACTGCAGATGATGCTTTAGCGAGTGACTCGTGCATTAGTTAATTGTGGACAACGAGACAGGATAGCTTGTATTTGGAATGAGAATTTCACTCAAGAAATCATGGCATTGTGTATAGTGTTTTCTTATTAGGTGTGACGAATTATAAAGGTCTTGGTTGCCTTCATGAGTTTGAGCTTATGTTATTATCATATACCCTTGTCTAGTCTCCAAGAAATATTTGCTCTTATTATGGAATCTGTGGTTTTCTCTGTTTAGTCATTTTGGCTACAAGCATATGTCAAATTTGTAACCAAATATATATTACATACTGATTCTTTAATGTGGTCATGTTTTCAGAATTGACAACTGGAAGCGTGAACATATTCAGCAGTTCCTGAAGGAGAAGGTGAAGAGCCCTGGTTCATCATCAATCTGAGAAAATGGCCGAGGACCCCTTTTCCTTCTGTTGCATCCAAACTTCTCGTTGTGTCAGAATTTATGATCAAATTGTATCACAATCATTCAAACTCACTTCTATTAGCTGAATCTTTCAAGCTTCGCTCTGTAATAGCAACACTTTTGATTTCCTTTGTTGCTAGAACTAGAATTAAAGAAAGTAACGTGATGGTTAAATTTTAGTATTTTAAATGGTTGTCATCGTTTCCACAAAATTGAATAGAAGAATATTCATGTAGTGGATCCGAAAATTTGGATAAAGGGGCCTCGTTGTTGTTTCCAGCATATATATATATATAGGGAGAGGTTCTAATAAAAACCTAGAGAACTAAAAACCAATCCTAACCCTACATTCTATTTCATCCAATGGCCTAGATTTCAATGGCAGAATTGTAAATATAGACAAATTTAATACACCGTATTAATGTGAAAAGGGTAAAATTGGAACAATTCATTGCATTAATGGTGACTGATTACATTGGAACAATGATACAAATTTAATATACGTCCTTTAATACTCTCTCTTACATTAATAGTGCTACATTCTTTAATACTCTCTCTCTCTAACTCACTTCCCGATCTCTGTAAATCTCAAATGAAGAACACAACAACGCAATGAATCTGGATTCACCGAAGTGATCTTCAATCCAGATTCACTCTAACGAATTGAATCTGAATTCATTCCAATCGATTTGCTGCTCCACTGGATTTGTGAATCATTCTAACCATCCAAGCAGAATAAGAAACTTATGGTAAAAAACAAGCTATAAAATTTTATAACATGAAAAATTTTCACCTTTTACAGCAAAAAGTTATGATTTTTATGGTAAAAAACAAACACCTCACATAATTGAATCTGGATTCACTGCAGTGAATCGAGATTCACTGAAGTGAATCTAGATTCACTCATACGTTTATTGAAGTAAAAACAAGCTGGATTCACTGCAGTGAAACGAGATTCACTGCAGTGAAACGAGATTCACTGCAGTGAATCGAGATTCACTGAAGTGAATCGAGATTCACTCATGCATTTATAGAACGTGTTTGATGATTTTAAGCAAAAGGTTACAATTTTTATGGTAAAAACAAACACCTTACATAACTGAATCTGGATTCACTGCAGTGAATTCAATTATTTAGGACAGCAAAAATCGGCGATTCACTGCAGTGAATTCAATTATTTAGGACAGCAACTAAAACAAACCCCACAACTAAAATTCTGAACTTTAACCAATTTTAACAAAAAAACTAACAGGATTGCAATTTCTAAAATATTTTAATAGAAACCCTAAAAAAGATTGCAAATTTTGAAAGATAATCCAACAAAACAAACAACCAAGATCGAGTATAAGAGAAACCCCAAGCTAAAACAAATCCTAGAACCAAGATCGCAACTTCAACAATTACCCTAAAAAGAAACCAAAATCAAATTGAAATTAAAGAAAAACGTGACGAACCGAGGGGGTGCTCGAGCTTGAAGGAACTCTTGGCCATGGATCCCCTCTTTCTATCATCCCCAATACATGACGAGAACAAAACCATGATCAGATCAAAAGAAAATAACACCTACCAAGAATCAAATCAAACTTAGAATATAACCTACCAAGAAAATATAACACCTATCAAGAAAATAACACCTACCAAGAGAGAGGGGGCTGGTTCAAGCTTTTGGGAAATGGAGGAGAGAGAGAGGAGAACGTGAGAGGAGAGTTGCATGGGAAAATGGAGAACTCAATAAGAAGCCATAATTTACCTCTCTTTAGCTGGCGCTGTTTATTTCTACTAATTAACCCTTATGCAGCTTTAATCTCAGCCATAGGTATGAATCTAAGATCCATATGAGAGGATTGGTTCTTAGTTTTTAGGCATTATTGAGTTTGAGGTTTGTATTTGAACCTCTTCCTATATCTATATAGATATGATATATATTATATAATATATATATATATAATATATATTATATATATATATATATTATATATAATATATTTTATATATATATATATATATATATATAATATGAGATTAATGGTATCCTTGTTCATAAGGACCGGGATTTCCTCCTTGCACGCCTCTAAACACATAATTGAGCGATTAATTCGATGGATGATCCGCTCCGTTGAACTTGATCTACATATTCTAAAACCCTAACACATCAAGTTTGGAGTGAATGCGTCTCGTTTGACCCTCCATCGAGCCACATATGAAAAGTTCGATTATTCATTCAAAACCGTTAAAATTGATACGATGTGGATGAAGCGCGTTCAAACCGACGACGGTTTCATACAAACTATTGTGTTGGGGTTTTAGGAATATGTAGATCAAGCTTCAACGGGAGCGGATCATCCACAATCGTCGCCTCAATCATGTGAATTTTAGAAGTCGTCATAGCGAGGAAATGCCCCTCCTATGACAAGGATACCATTAATCTCTTCTCATCTCATCTCTCTCTCTCTATAATATATATTATATATATTAATATATTATATATTATATAGTATATATATATATATATATTATATATATATATATATGGAGACATGCGTTCAATAAAAACCTCATTAGCCTAAGAAACTAAAAACCTTCCTTCATCCCGAATGCGCTAGCGATTCTCGGCTCAAACAGTCAACAGATACATGCAATTATTTATTTTTTTTTTTTTTTTTTTGTTTTTTTTTTTTTCTTTTTTTTCCTCATTAAACACCATGCTTATTACATTTAACCCACGTGTAATCTGGATTCACTGCAGTGATTCGAGATATGTTGAGTGTGGAATCTGGAATATCGCCTGCGTCTGAGATAATTAATAATGACGGCTAATTAATGCCATGTGTATGTTTAACTGTTTGACCTGATCTCAGCCATTAGGATTCATCTAGATCTCAATGGATGAAAGAGGTTTTTAGTTTTTAGGCCTAAAGGACTTTTTATTAGAACCTCTCCCTATATATATCCATATATTATATATATATATATATTATATATATATTATATATATATATATATATATATATATATAAAATTTAATCATAGATTTACATAATGTGTCATTGAAGAAATTTCTCTCGGTTCCTATTGACCATTAATGTCTTGACAACATAAATAGCCGTTGTGGAACCTAAATCGAGCGTCTCCGTTCATTCTAGAGGAAAATAAAGTCTTAGTAACTTCATGTATAAAACTTTGTTTAAAGAAGACGTCTGGAAGAAATCTTAAAGATGATACTTTCATAATGACTACTTTCCCATGCTTTTTCGAAAATTCAAACGCAGATTTTCACCGTTCTTTTCTCGCTTTCCCTTCATCCTTTTCCTGTAATTCTCCTTTTTTTCCTTGTCTCATTCAGAGATATAGTCTTGATTTGAGCACAAAAATTCAGTTGCCTTTCTCTTTCAGCAAATCTTTTTTTTTTTAAAGGCATTTGACTAATAAAATTCTTCACTTGAATACCTTTGTGAAATGGAGCAAAAATGATACCTTCATGCTCAATACTCTTGTCATGTTTGGATCAAAGTTGCTACAACGATCAAAGCCTCGCACATTAATGAACAAGCATAAATAATGAGAGAAGCACAATTATGTAAGCATCGATATCTCTGAAATTGCAATTGCATGGTCATATGCTGTAAAGATAAATTTCAAGAAGACGATAGCTTAAGGGGACATAAAACATTTCTATCACGACATTGGAGATAATTACATTGGGCGACAGCCCATTCAAAATCATTCTCATATATACATTTTCTTCTAAATGCCATTCTTTGATCTCACAGAAAAAGTGAAACCAATTGTTTAGCGAGGCATGCATTTTGCATCCAATTCCCTTGGAAACGAAGTGAGTCGGGTGTCTCCGGTATTGCGAATATCAAAAAGCTTGGAAGTTGCACGAGTACGAGCTCAATTCTCTCGTCATTTGAGCAAACTCTCACAGAAGGGTAATCCTAGATCTCTCGTCACTGGGTGAACTCTTAAGGCATATCTTAGGCCTGCAAGCATATCATAAAGATGGGGTTAATGAATTATGAAAGCAAACAATAAGTAAGTAGTAAACCTTTCTTTAATAACTAAGAGCATCTCCAGCCCAAAAACCCAAAATGGTGCAGTTTTTACACCAAATCACTATTCCATCTCCAACCTATTTACACCAAATTTTACACCAAAAAGAATATTCCTTTTATTATTCTTATCTTTTAACATTTTTATCTATTTAAAATATTTAACAAATTATATAATTATGAAATTTTAAGTGCAAGTTTTTCTTATCTAAATGTAAGTTTTTCTTATTTCTTCATTTGGTTCTAGTATTATGAAATTTTAAGTGCTTGGATTAAATTATCTTTTTTTTTCCTTTTTGAATTTTATTTTAATAATTATTTTATACTCTAATTTCATTATAATAGTTAATATAAAATAATATATATTATTAATACATATATAAAAAACAAAAGCAAAAAATAAAAAAAACTAAATAGAATAAGATGGGAAATATGATGGATAAAATGAGATATGGTTGGAATATTTAATTTGTTATAACAAACTTTAAGGGCAAATTTGTGGGGGAAAAAATCCATATCTACGGTGTTGCGCCGTTCCTGGCGTAACATTGTAGTAGTGCTTTAAAATAGCGCTAATTTTGCCGCTCGGTAGATTTGCGTCAATTTGGGTTTTTGGCGTTGGGTTGGAGATGCTCTAATGGTAATATATTGGTTTCTAAATCATAATCTGTATCTCCTAAGAAATAAAGAAACATTTTACTACTACTGCATCTTCTGAAAGGAATCGGTAAATTAAAGGAGGGTTAACTACAGATACTCTACCGTCATGACTTACTCACTTATAACCTCTAAACTTTTGTATTAGAACTTACACCCCTTTCATCGAAAATGATATTACTTTTTCTTTCCCTCACTTTAGAGGCCACTTTAAATCTTTTTTCTACTAAACCGAGAGCAAAAGGTAATTTGTTATCATGTGAACCTAGCATGGAAAATAATGTCGTTCCAGAGTTCAGTGGCTAAATCTGACAGTACAGGCGGTGTATCTTCATTTAACCCTTACAGAAAACCGGAAAAACCCAGACCGAACTACTTTGTGGTTTTTCTCTGGGATTCATGAACTTTAGCAAATTATGAAGTGCTGGTATGTACATCTTGCAGTGAGCAATGCAGGCCGTTTTTACAAGTATGAAAAACAGTAGAATTGTTTCATTTTATTATTCATTTTTCTTTGATATAAACGTTTTGCCCATATTCTCTATCGGTTGTTATAATGTATCTTTTATATATTTATATTTTGAGTGAGAGATCTTAATAGACAAATGTGAGTTCTCATATGTTAAAAATTTTGAGTTTAATGTCTTCCATTTTAAAACAATTAAGAGAAACCGAGAGTGGCATAGGATATTTTACGGGAACAAAGACGAGTAGTGCATTGAAAAGGTACCTGTCTTCTTCTCCGGCCTTGGAGAAGGTAGCATGAGCGTACTATCAAATAACATGGTAAAAGAAAACCAGCAAACTGAAGGGATAGCTGAAAGATGACAAAGGAAAAACGTTATTACCGAGTGGTCATGCGTGAATAAACTTAACAGTAGCCCCAATCAATGAGCATCAGTAAATATGACAATAACCATGAGCTAAGGTATCTTAGCTGAAAAAGTTACTTCAAAAGAAGGTAGAATTAGAATCAGACAGAACCTAGGAGGAGAATACTATTCCTAACTTTCTTAAGAATAACATTCTTTCTTTCACTTAATAGGAATTATTTAATAGACTATGCTAAGGTTGGTATGGATAGCTAAAATGCTCACGGCTCAGGTTGAGATCGGCTTGGTAAAAAACTCTAGTCATTATCTAAAGGAAACAAACTTGAGTAAACCAAGCTCACAAGAATAATTGAACAAGCATGAGCATAGCCAGACTCAACTTGGTCTTCGTTTCTGCTCGACTCGTTTACAAGTTTTAGAATATAAAAATTATAACCCTCAACCCTCATCACTTTCATCACTTTGGTTCAGTTGTGGGGTCCTTTAAGTCTTTTGATATGGTACCAGAGCAACCCAGATCCAAATCTTATAGGCCATAAATTCTTCAGAGCATTCTGAAAAAATTAATACCGCTACGTGAGTTCAGGTTTCCACCCTAAACGAGCCCTCACCGTGTAAGGCATGTTAGAATATAACTTATATAAATAGGTTTCCACCCTAAAAGAGCCCTCACCATGTAGCGCTTGTTAGAATATAACTTATATAAATAGGTTAAATTATAACCCTCACCACAACTTAGGAGCATTGGTGCAATGGCAAGGTCCTTTGACAAGGTTGTATGGGCTCAACTTGGCTATATTTTAGTATTTTTTTAAAAAACCTAAGCAGAAAAATTATCCTGAAATTTAATGCTTATATTATTTCAATATACATTTTCAAATTTATTTGCTAGTATTTTTCTAGAACTGTAATAGGCTTGGATTGGGCTTGATTGATAATGTAAATAAAACCAAATTTGAACACAATTTAAGGCTATTCAAATAATTGAATGAATATATTCATGGACAGCCAAAACATTGGCCATTTGGCTCAATTAGAAGCCCTTAATGGTAAAGCAAGTAAAAACGGTAGTACTTATTTTAAAAAGAATCGATGTTCCAAAAAGTGCAACGATTTTTTAACAGATATTGCTCTATGTATAACTAACTAGTACCCCAAAATCATGCACTCTGACGGAGCATAATTCCGTGACAGAAATTGATCATTCATTTTCGGATTTATAAATCAATACTATAAACAAAAATAGATATCAACAAAAGTAGCTTACATTGAAGAAGTCTGACGCGTCATGGACCATTCCAACATCTCGTATAACCATAAGAACATGGTGAACAAGAAGAAGAAACATCAACTGTATAAAATCAAAGTATAAAGCAAACTTCAACAATGATGAAGAAGTAAAGACCAACAATAAGAAAGAAAAGCATAGGGACATACAATAAGAGCAACAGAGCGGCAGCAAGCTATCCCATTGTTGTGTGCAGCTGCATAATGTTCATACTCTGCATTTAGCAGTTCTTGCTCAGCAGCAGCAATGGCGAGAAAATGGGAATTATTTAGATCAATTCTTGCACCCGCCCAACCTTGTCTACAAATAATTCAAAAAGAACATTCAGTTGACACTTTACAACCGATCAAAGAAGTTTCAGTAACAAACTGCTACAATGGATTACACGAGTCACGCTTGTAATCAACCTAGATATGTGCTTATGCAAATAGAGGTTAAATAATATATTATCCTTTTCCAGTAAGGATAGATTAAAAAAAAAGCAAAGCTTGAAAGTTCAGCAAACTGAGTGGCATGAGCCCAAAGAGAAATTCCACAAGATACCCCCAACTACTTGAAGGGTTCAGAACATAAAATTATGTCTTCCAACCACAATAATCTAAGTCATATTTCTTGCAGAAATATGATCAATATAATACTGAAAACAAAATTTGCATTGTCACTAACTCCATAAATCGCAAAAGCTGAAATAGGTGATAAGAGTCAAATGTATAAAACAAGGCATCATTATAAAATTTGATACACAAAAACTTCCAATTCACAGAAAAAATAAAAATGTATTATCTCTGAGGAAGATGTAGCTAATAATAGAAAGAAAGGCTCATTAGAGTGTACCTGATATCAATGGCTATCATGTCCGAACTGGATCTAGTTGGTGGTGCTGAATAGTTGGGTGCATATACCTTTACAAGTAAAATAATTAGTTAAATATTTTGTCAGATTAAAAGAAGATTAATAAATATCTCTTTAACGACAGTATCCATCAAATATTACGAAGAACATGGAATGCTTTTACAAAAATTTTCCTCCAAGGATACTTATTTGCTGAGAAGCATTTCTGAAAAGACAAAAGTAATGCTTAGTATGGTAATGCAGTGCACAAGTGCACAAAAATGAAATAATATCACTGATAAAGAAATCACCATAAAACTGTATGAATCTAAGAAAAATTTTAATGACGAAAAGCTCCATGAATTGAATTCATAATGGAGGAATATATATAAATGATCAAAGGAATATATATAAATGAAAAAAAATTAACTATTTCTAGTAATGGAATCAAATCTCAAGAATAATGAAAATACAGAATGCCGAAATTTTAAGTCTAGATAAAAATAAATTATGCACAGAGTTTGATATTTAATACCAACCTGGTTGCAAATTTCACATGTGATGTTCCCCTTCTTATTGCACCATCTCTGTATGCATTTCCTGTGAGCAAACTGCACAGAATAGAAGCAGAACATTCTGATCAATAGGTGATCAACAAGTGCACTTCTGGAATAAATGTAATCGAAGTGTTCAAAATTGCATGCATAGAAGAAAGAAAAAGTGCAGACGCCTTCTCTTAAAATAAAAGAATTACAGAGCAGAAACAGTTATCGATTCATTAAAAATATTTTACATCAACAGTTAATAAAATCAGGACTTCTTTCACTTATAAAAACCAATAGATAGAAACATATAACAGCATGTTGTGTGCACTTCAAAGGAATTACCAATGAGTGGTTGCAGACATAATTTCCATAGAAGCTGAAATTGACAATTAACTATATAACAAGTGCCAACTTATCTGTAGTAATTGATATAACAAGTTTTTGTGCGACCATTTCTGATTTTGTAATTATGTGCATCACAAAGAAATATACTTCAGAAAATGATAGGTCTATGATTTTACAAGAAAATAAACTTAAGCCCCTTTTCAGGCTTTCATGGCACCACATGACAAAAGCACCTCTCCAAATATTGGACCTCCCTGAAATGCTAACATTCTCTTAACAATTAGTTCTGCTTTTGCATTGTATACAGTCATACAATGAATTACATCGTAGTCACCGATTTCTAGTTACGGATACCAGCCTAAAACCATTAAGCCGTGTTATATCAACTATTAAGAAGAAATATAAAATTTTGAAGAATTAATGCCAACACACAGTATTGAGTGATATAACAGCCTGATTGAGATCTATAGTAATAGTTGTCCATATACCACTATATACTATTTCACTTAATTAAACATATTTGGTAGCTATCAAATAAAATATAATTAATTATGGACAGGAGTTGAGGAACTATAATTTAAAAAGTAACTAAAGCAACTTAGAAAACCAAAAGGTGAACGGGAAAATAGAACTATTTCCAGAAATCCTAAATCATCAGAAACCCAAGCAAATTAGACAACAATGGAGCAAACTCGTATACAACCTAAAGGTTAAAAATACGATTACGAGGATCGATCATAGTGGCTAGTCACATAAAAGTAGGATCAGACAGTTCATTGACACTATGATAAAGTTAGGAACAAGTACAAAAAAGATTATTTGCTAAAAATCCTACAAACAATAAATCACAAGCATTTGGCATTTGAAGTAAAACTTCCTGCAGTGTGGACCTAGAACCACTAACTTCTACCAAATTCAGGTAAATACAACTGTTCAACTAGAACTATTGCAGAAAACAAAGCTTTAGCATCCATAAGATTCTCATTCTAAAAACAAACTAAATTGTTTAACTGTGTTCAAAATTATTTTATAGCAATTATAAGGCACAATCAAGACAAATAGGATACATGCATTCAGTGTCCCCACAAAAAAGGGGGAAACAAAAGCTTTGACAAACTTAGGAACTAAAACCAAACTTTAAATTGAAACGAAAAAGTGAACAAAGATTTTATTTTTGTGTAGAATTCATAGTTTAATCCTTGATATAAAACAATAAAAGGGCAAAAAAAATGCATGTTAAAAAAAAAAACCCGCCCATCAATAGAACAAGTGGGTGACCTAACCACCCAATATTATCATAGTTACCATGGAGAAAAAAAAGCCCACAAATAATGGGGAAAAAAAAAACCCAAAAACTCATCCAGATTCCTAAGAATGTAAGAAACAAAAAATAATAATAATAATAAATGGGTCACAATAAAACAACATTTCTATTTTAAAAAGGTTCAAGAAACCTCGAAAAGAATCAAGACCGGAACAAAATAGAACTTGGGTCAAACCAAAACCTACAGTTTTGAACAGAAAAATAACCTACCAGTTTAAAAAAAAAAAAAGCCATCAAAAGCCAAAATAGAATAACTCACCTAGACTCCTAACAAATTAACAATAAAAACAAAACTGGGTCATAATAAAACAATACGTCTGCTAAAATATTTAAAAACAAAAAAACCCACCTTGACTTTTTCCACTCTAAAAAAGAACCTCAAAAAATCAAAAATGGAAGAAAAATAGAACTTGGGTAATACCAAAATTGCAACTTTCAGCATAAAAATATTTAAAAAAAAAACAAGGGAAAAATTAAGACCTTGAGGGTTCCATTGCAAGCACAGGGAGCTTCCATATCGCTCTCATCTCCTTCCTCTTGACAAATCCTGCACTCAATCAATCCTTCTCCTTTCTTCTTCTTCTTCTTCAAACCCTCACCATTAACAGAGCTCCCTTCATCTTTTTCCTCTCTCTTCAGGAACCCATCTCCATTACTACTATCAGGATCAAAACAAGCAGCTGACGCGATGATTCTATCGACCAAACCCATGATTTTTCTCATTCTGCTCTGTTTTCGTTCATGGAGAAAACAGAGAGGAGGTGGTGGGGATTCGAAAGACTAAAACGCCCCTGGTGTTTGTCTGATCTGACCAAAGTTCTCCTTTTTAAGGGGCCCGTGTGACCGTCAAAACGCTATCTCATGGCATATTTATTTACCTTCCAAATATGTGTATTTACTGATTTATATCTGTGTATCCTTCAGCATTTTGTTTTTATACCTCTCTTAAATAACATTATTCTCCTACGGCTGAAAGAGGAGCACCAGATGTCAGCTTTTTCACCCAAATCCTCTCAAACGGAGAGGATTTCAGATTTCATAAAAAACCACTGTTTAACTCCTTTACGGATTTCGAAATCTGTAAAAAAAAGTTTTGAACCAAACTCAATATTAGGAGTCATTTGGAATCCTTTGATTACGGTTTTGCCACCGTCAGATCCAAATATCATTCCTTTTCCATGAGTGAAACAAACAGCACCTTACCTTCTAAATATGTGTATTTACTGATTTATTTGTGTATCCTTCAGCATATTGTTTTTATACCTCTCTTAAATAACGTCATTCTCGTACGGGTGATCCAAACAGTTAGAGGTTCCAATGTAGTTCCTGCGGTCTTAGGTTAACACCGTTAAACTTCATAGATGTAGGTTTGTTTTCGACAGTAACTCTACAAATTGGTAGATTTGGAAGGTTGTACCAAAAAAATTTCATATTTCAAGGAGAAAGGGGATACTTTGGTCATTTTATTCCACTATAATTTAATATTTTTGTGAATAAGATAGAGTTGAGGAGTATATATGTGAAGACCCATGACGAAAATACCCACATACATGGTTTGAATGTTTAAACGCTTATTTTTGGTTTTTATTTTGAAGGGAGGTGTCATTAATGCTGTGCCAAGACTTCGTAGAAATAATTGACTTGCTCAATTTGGACCCTGTAAGCTTGGGGTCAAGGAGTTGGTGGGGGTTACAGTTCTTTGTGGACCCCATAATGAATTTAAGTTTTCTATAGGTCGGAGATGCTTTGAGATTTTAAACCGTTGCATGCTTTTTGTTTAGATTTTGGGCATAGTTGTTTTCTGGACAACGAGCAGTGGGCTAATTCTGGAGTTTATAATAAGTTGGTTATTAAAAAGAGTTCGTAAAAATAATTTATATAAGCGGTTGAAAATGATAGTTTGCTAAGTAAATATAAAAAAATTGCTTAAAAACAGCTTAGATGTTATTATTGTTAAAAGATATAAAAAAAATATGGTATATAAACTAAAAAGACAGAAGGTGCTTTTAAAAGCATCATCTAGTTGCTTCTAAAAACACCCCTTAAAAGCAGAAGTATTTTCAATAAGCATGCCAAATTTTTTGTCACCAAACACTATTATTGGGTGATTGTTTAAAAAATAAGCAAAAGCACCCTGAAAAAAGTAATACCAAAGTTACCTTTAGGCATTTGGAAACCCCCCTTTAGTTGTGGACGATTAGTAGATAACCTCCTATAACTTAAAAATATTTGGAAACCCCTTTAAGTTTAGGGCTAATAAGAAAATCCTCTTTAACTTTAAGATTAGAGTTAATTTTAGAAAAGCCCCTTCAAATATGGAGGTTGTCCCAGAAAATCGGCCTCAACTATTTTAACTTTAGAAAACTCCCCTCAATTATGAAGTTGTTGTCGATAACCGCCCTCAACTTTCTAAACATTATTTATTCCCCCTCAATTTTTCTCACTTAACCCCCTAAAATAATATAATTTAAATCTAAAGGAATAAATAATTTAAAATGACCATAGTATCCCTAAGACATTAATTTTTTTACCATAGTGTCCCTTTTTAACTTTTTTGTGTTTAAAATAACTTTCATTTTATTTTCCCTCTCTTCTTATTCATCCATCTTCATTGTTTGGTTTATGTGCAAATCTAATTGTTTTTTGAAACACTAAACTTCTTTTATTTTCTGCTTAACCATGCTTGTAATATTTAAAACAATTGAAACTTTTTAGATTTTTTTTGAAGACTAGTTTCCTCTTCAAAACCCACGGAACCGAAGTCCAATATTTTGATTGGGTTGAGTTTTTAAACCCACATGATTTTTTTTTCAATCAAGGGGATTTTAGTCATTGCATATTTTAAATTAATAATATTATGGGGCTTATTTTAAAAGCTAGAAATATAAAGGGGCTTTTGTGATACACCCCATAGTTAAGGAGGGTTTAGTCATATTTTAAAAGTTGAGGGGGTTATCTACAACACACTCAAATTTGATGAGGGTGGGGGGTCTTCTAGGGATAAAATAGCTGATGGGGATTTTCTGAGATAAGCCCTAGTTGCCCTTAAGGTTATATCTGAAAATCCCCCTAAAATTGTGAATCTCAATCTTTTTTTGGTCAATGAAAAATTTTATTCATTACCAATATATGGAAGTTATAATACATCAACATCATTCTCAAGACTGATTACAGAATTCAGTCTTCAAAAATTAAAAATTCTCTACATAGCTCTTTATGTGGTGTGGGATGTTATCATTCAATATCCTTGTATATACATGTATCTTTATCAATCTAAAGAGATGACCAGGACCTCTTGATTGAAGTTGAAATATACGAAAATTCCTCTCTTGCCAAATCATATAGACTGAAGTAGATAATGCCAACCTTTTAAGCTTTATTTTGAAACTTTTCCCTCTCAAATTGTTCCCAAACCAGCTGGTGATTTGAGCCCAATTACATGATTTCCTTTTGAAGCTTAGCCAATCCATTACTTGATTCCAAACTCTAGCTGAAAATTGGCACTCGAAGAAAAGATGTTGACAAGTTTCAATCTGTCCTCCTCCTGAACATAGGGTGCACTGATTTGAGCTCAGAACCCTCATTTTGCAAAGTCTTTCTTGTGTTAAAAGCCTTGATAAGAATGCCAACCAGAGAATAAAGGAATGTTTAGGTAGATTCCATCCACCCCAAACAGTCTCAGACCATGTAGTCAGATTTGAGTGTTGGAAAATTCTCCTACACATCACTGAAACTTTGATTTTGTCATTAGCACAGCTGCCACTGATGACATTTTGGAGATTATTCACACTACCAAGTTTATCAATCAACAAATTCCTCACTCTTAAAAGTTGTCTCCATTGCCATGAATCTCAATCTTTAATGGCAAGAATATTAAAGTTAAAGAAGATTTTCCAATAACCCATAAACTTAAGGGGGTTTTCTGATATTTTGTACGTGATGGGAGTTTATCTGATATTTATGGTATCT